AATGAGAATCTTCATAAACTGTTTTCAGTAATGTAAAATGGTGCAACCACTTTGGAAACCAGTTCTGGCATTTTCTTAAAAAGTTAAACATGAAATTACTCTATGACCCAGAATTTCACTCTGGTTTCTACCCAAGAGAAAAATACAAGTGCTTGCAAATACTTCTACACAAATGTTTTAGCAGCATTATTAATACTAGCCTAAAAGTATAAACAATCCAAATGTCCATCAACTATTGAATGGATTAACGTCATGTGGCAGAGCAATACAATGGAATACCTAACATATTCAGCCTTAGAAAGGAATGAACTATGAATACATGCTGAACCTCAGAAACATTATGCTAAGTAAGAAGTCAGATACAAAAGACTACATATTATATGATTCTATTTATAGGAAATGTCTAGAAAACACAACTCTACAGAAAATGGATTAATGGTTTCTTAGAGCTAGAGGTGGGAAAGGGAACTGGCTGCAAATGGACAATGATGGATATTTCTGGTGTGTGATGGAAACGTTCTAAAAGTATGTTGCGGTGATAGTTGCACAGTTACAAACTTAGTAAAAATTATACACTTAAAATGAGTGAATATGGTATGTAAACTGCATTTCAGTAAAGTTGTTGAAAAATACGAATAGCCCCCAATATAAATGATGTGTATAAATGAAATGTTCATTGCAGTTTTGATCAAACTAACCACAAACTGGAAACAACCCATGGCTCATCAATAATAAATGAATAAAAAAATAAGATTATTCTGGGGATTTTTCTATCTATAATACCCTCCATATTTTTTTGTTCTCACAGATTAACAGATGATTATATTGTCTTTGATCTTAATATATCCTAAAATAGATTAAAGAACACACAAAATGGATAAACAACTGTCATATAATCTATATGATGGTATACGACACAGCAGTAAAATGAAATGAATTACTGACACTTGCAACTACATAGATGAATCTCAAAAGAATTATGCTAAGTGAAAGAAGCCAGATACAAAAGACTCCTTACTATATGATTGTAATCATATGAAATTTTAGAAAAAGGCAAAATTATAGGGATAGAAAGCAGATCAATGTTGTTTCCAGGACCTAGGGTGTGTGGGGGTGGGGTAGGGGGGAGGGTATTATAACAAGATACAAGTTTCTGGGATAGGAATACTTCCATTGAAGGAATGGTTACGTGACTGAATACATTTGTCAAAACCCATGAAACTGTACACTTAACCTGGAGAGTTTTATTATATGTAAATTATACCTCAATAAATATAGATGAAAACACTAGGAATGCTCTTCATTAGGATAACTGGAATGAAAGTATTTTGTCTTGGATATATATCTTCACGTTCTACCAAAAATGTGTAGGAAGGTGGGAGGTATGTCCTCATTTTCTTCATAAAGTATCTTTTCCACTGGTGCTGGGGCATTAAGTGACCAGGTGAATTATTTAGAAACACAAACAAAACAAAAGTTACAAGAAACCTAAGTTCATGCTACTGGGTAAGGAAGGAATTATTTTGTGGGGTGATGAAAACGCTCTGGAATTAGATGGAGGTTGCATTGTAGTTGTATAACTTTGTGTATATACTAAAATAAACACTGCATTGTACATAGAGTGAGTGTTATGCTATGTGAATTGTATCTCAATTTAAAACACATTAATCATACAACATCTCTTCATTTTCTTTTTTTATATAATGGGTATGAAATGTTGGAAGCAGGGAAAAAGCAATGACAAAGGGCTATTTTGAGTATCTTTTTATTTGTGACATTTATTATTGGCATGTAGCTATAAAATAAGTATCAAGTAAGGAAAATGTACGTTACTGCTATCACTAATGTGACTTACTGCTTTTTAAACTCCCAACAAAAATTGTATATAATTGTGAGAAAAAGAATAGTACCTGTTTATTTTTGAAGTTCCTTGTTGTCCATAGCCACTGGAAGGCACTTTCTGGTAGAGTAGCTGTCTGTTGGTCAAGTGAGTCTGAGGTTTTAGTCTGGGCATGATTGATTCAATATGATTATAGTTGAGGCATAAGACCTACAGAAATAATACCTTATTAATCAGATGTTCAAATATGAATGCTGTATATATATCTTTAGTTTGAGATTATCAACATCCTAAAAACTATTAAGATGTAATGGATTATACAACATAATATAATAATATATCAGTGTTAAAATGGCACAAATGGTCTGTATTTAGCTTTGAATGTGTTTTTTTGAATAATCTGACTTGCTAAGAAATGACAATATTTCAAACAAATAATGGAGACCCCAGAAAGCTGCTCAAGCTTCTCAATCTGCACTCCTGATTTCTCCAAGCCCGATATAGATGAAACAATTGTTTAGTTGGAGAGATCACCACTTCCCTATGTTTAAAAGGCTTTTGTAGATGGCTCAGCCAAAGCTATAAGACAGGAGGCAATAAGGCTGCTTTGAGAACCTCAGTGTCCTCCAATTTCATTCCATACCCACACTGTAGAGGCACCCTTCTATCCCGTCTCCTACTGCAGAGGAAGATTTACTGCTTATAAGACAATCACATAACACTGAGGTCAATCAAAATAATTTTGGAAAGTAGTACTTTCTCTTGCTTGGTGAAAAAAAATTTTAGGAATAATTTCTTTAATAACACAAAAATATATTTTAACCCAAAGTAAATAAGATTACAACTCACACTGAAAACCTTGCAAGAAAAAAGTAAAATCTGTGAGTGACTCACCTTCACATTAGGCAGATAGATTAATCCACTGAATGAGGTGAGATTATTGTTTTGTAGATTCACATTACATACATTTCTAAATTGGTCAACTGGAATCAAGTCCACAGTTCTGAATTGAGATAAATACATTCATAATTTTGATAGGAAAATTATATAGGTGAATCATTCATGTACAATCCCAAAAACATGAAAAAAATGCCTCTATCTGACAAGTGCTATGAAAAATAATTGCCTTAGTGTAAAATGTATGGGTTAAATAATTGGATAAATACATGTTTTTGTTGGACATTTATGTAAGAAAATGACACAGAATTTGAATGCTTTAAAAACTATGTCTGTTACCACATAAACATAGCACTATCACAAAGCAACTTTTAAAGTAAACATCCCTATTTTTTTATAAATTTACATACATATTCATGAAATTGTAGTGAAGTTGATATAGTAAATCATAAGATTTTCAGGTTATAAACTGCAGAGGATATATGTGAAACACATTATTTCTGAAATTCCAGGAAGACATTAGAGATGGGAAAGAAAAGGGGAAAGAAAGCAGGTGAGGTCTTTGAAGAAAGAGTTTTCTATGCAGTCTCCTGAAAACTTTTATGGCATTCCACTTTGCAAGAATGCTTTGGTAGTTAAAAATATGTTTGATTCCTAGTCCATGGCTTTCTTGGTCCTTTGAGCCTTAATAGAGAAGAGCATAAGGGTAAATTATGTTACCCTAACTACTTTTTTAAACAAATCCTAAACCCTGTAGTTATAATTATGGCATACTTTTATCCATTAATAAATCATTCATTCAACATATTTTAATTAGTATTTTCTAAGTGCAGACAATGTATTTGGAAAAGCTATAACAAATATGAAAAGATACTGTCTCTGTCCTCATGAAATGGGATCCAGAAAAATTAAAATAAAAAAGGAAAAATGATATAATAGAGTTAGATGTAATGGAATATTAGGGAGAAAAAAAACCTATCTGGGGAAGTCAGCACACAGTGGAGCCTTCAAATGAGCCTTGGAGAATTTATAAGCATTTGTCAGGCAAATTAGAAAAAGAGTTCCAGCTAGCAGAACAAGCTTAAGGAAAGGCAGAAATGTGAAACAGCATCTTGTGATTGAGATTAAGGAACTAAAATATTTTAGAATTTCTGGAGTATAAAGAGTAATGGGCAGTGAAGGTAAGGGTTATAAGAGATACAAATAGAACGAGTCTTCTATGCCATACAAAGGGATTTTACATTTTACTATAGACAGTGGAAAGCCACTGAACAATGTTGAGAAGGGAAGTGACCTGATAAAACTTGCATCTTAGAAGATGGTATGGATTTTCAGGAAAGGTTATATAAGACAAAAACCCAAAACTATCATCGAGAGAGTTTCTAAAATAGTTCATTTCCCAACCTAGGCCAAAGGTAGTGACTACAGAAAGAAGAGGGGAATTATGAGACATACTTATAATATGGACTCTGTAGAGCATGGTGATCAATTATAAATGGAGGACAAAGGAGAGAGAAATGACCTTTAGATTTTTGGCTAGGGTGACAACAGATGAATGTTGTCTTCTAGATGCTATCTAAAGAGCAACTGAATTTTCAAGTAAAGAGCTCAGGTTTTGGTTAAATTTAAAGGATCATCATCACAAATTAAAATTATGGCTAAAGATGTCTGTGAAGAGTGCAGAATAAGAAAAAGAGAGGAGAGAAAAGGATTTATTTGCCAGGAGGACAGTGAGAAGAACATCAGAAGAATGGTAGCTTTAGAAGTCAGATTTCACTGGGTTAAAGTCATATGTGAGGAGCAAACCTAGTCTATTCTAATTTTAAAAGCTTGGTTATTAGAGAAGAAGACATAGGATGTCTTAGATTGCTGACATTTTAAATCATAGTGTGTGGTAATGCACTTTAATGAGTGGTGAAATTAGCATGAGATTTTGAAGTAGGGAAGATGATTTTCTGAATTATTAGTTATATTTGGATAAGGTGAATAAAAACCTTAGATAATTACAATAATTACATATTTAATTATATCAAAAAGCATATAATAAAATGATTGCACCTGATGGATGATGAAGTCCAACTGAGTTCTTGCATTTGGGTGAAGTTTGAATGTCCTTGTCGTTCTGCAATCATGTCAGAAGTAAGTGTGCCACCAAACAAGTCTTTTGCACACTCAGTCTCTGGTTGTTCCTACATATAAGGACATTTAGAAAGTGATGTCTTCTCTTACAGATGACTAAATGATATTAATTCTTTGGTTTTAGGTCAAAATGGAGTGGACTCACTTCTCCCTATTCCTCCTACTAAATACAGCAAAAACTCCTATACATTATATAGAAAATAAATATAAGGAGACTGAAAGGCGCAGACAAGAAGGCAGACCAGCTAGGGACCTTGGGACTGAGGAATGATGCTGTGGTGAGTCCGCTGGTCTATTGTTGTGATTTATCATAAGAAATATATATTTGGCCTTTATCCACTGTTCCTGGCCTGGCCATATGGTTAGGCAGAAGAGCAGTGGAAAACTGGCCTATTAAAAGATGCCCATATGGGGCATGGCCCTATGGAAATTTGAGGAGTACATTAAAGTAGGACACATTGATGCCCATCAGAACTCCCTTCCAGGTTTGAAAGGTGATTGGATTTGACAAGCAGATATCCCCATATGCTCACTTAAGGTGGCCACCTGGGTTTGTGAAATAGGTGAATACTGGGGGTCTACAGCAATGCAGAGATGGACGGAATCTAGACATCTTTATCTTGCACCCTCTGAGGCACAGAATACCAATAAGAACTGTTTTGTCTGCCAGCAAAAGGGACAGAGACTGCAGATGGCCATGTGGCAGATTTCCCTGGTGGGAAGACTTTGAACAAACTTGGCAAGTCAGACTCATTCTGGTAGCCCTAACGGGCTACAAGAGAGTCTTGACAGAAATAGATACTGACTCCGGACTGGGTTTTGCTTACCCACTGGTAAATGCAAATGCTCAGAGTGCTGTAAAAGAACAGAGACAGAAGATATCATGCCAATTTAGACAGCTGACTGTTCTTTCTTCAGACCAAGGAGCACACTTGACAGCTCATAATGTCCAACAGTGGGCAGTAAGATATCCTACTCAAGAGTAATAGCTCGATGGAGAATTGGAATGAGCAGTTAAAACGTCAGTTGTCTAAAGCAAGAAGATAAAGTATGAAGGGCTGGTTTATATGCCTTTACGAGAGTGCTCACATTCAGTGTGAACATGAGTGGGGCTAAAGCTATCCCCAGTGGATAGACTTCTCTGTTTTTCTGGTGGCTCTGGGGAAGGATGCTGGTGTGACTATGCAATCCTTGCTAAGGGAAGGTGATGCTCATATACCACTATCCTTTTTTATTTTTCTCCACATCACCTCAACTTTTATTTCCTACCTGATCAGGGACTATGGCTGGAAACAGGGATGATTCCTAAGCAAGAAACTACAACTATGTTTTTAAACTTTATGTTAAAATTCTTAAAGGCCTGATGGGGGTGGGCTTTGTCTTCACCCCATCTGGCAAAATTGGGGTTAACAGTGAATGTTAGTTGTATTGTCTGGGGGGCAAAAATAGCTGATCAGTCCTGCACCTGTATAATCTCACCCCATCTGACTGAGGGGGATGCACTTACTAGACTAATATTGTTATCTGCAATCTAGGCCAGCACAGTGGCCCAGCCTATTGTCCCTTCCAAAGGGGGAAAATTTGGGTATAAATGGAGAGAAGGAGAAATAGCAGTTATGGGGGTAAAGAAATTAATAAGTAAGTTATGTAATGAGGGAAATCCAATGTTACATTAACACCTCAAAAGAGGCTCAGAGCAAGAGATGATATTCTCTTTGTCTTTTTTTAATCTTTGTTTATTTATTTTGAGAGAGAGGGAGAGAGAGGGGGGGTGGGGAGAGAGGGAGAGAGGGAGAGAGAGAATCCCAAACAGGCTGCATGCAATTAGCAGAGGCCGATCCCACGAACTGCAAGACCATGACCTGAGCTGAAATCACGAGTCTGATGCTCAACTGACTGAGCCACCCAGGTGCCCTGATATTGTCTCTTAAATAATTATATCAGTTGCCTGAAAAGGGGAAGCTGTGTTTTCTGATACCACTCCTGCTTGTGGAATCTGAAAAGGTATCCAATGAAAGCTTGCAAATCTGAGTGGCTTCACCCTGGGAGACATTTTCATATGATTACAAACTGGATAATGACTGAATGAGATTATAGTAATATGACAGTGTTTTTTGAATTTTATGATCATTTTGCTATAAATGATAGGATCAAAAATCAGGGAATGGACTATGATAATGTGATTTATAGTAATAAATATAGGGGCACCTGGGTGACTCAGTCGGTTGAGTGTCCAACTCTTGGTTTCAGCTCAGATCATGATCTCACAGTTTGTGGGATCAAGCCCCATGTGGCGCTCTGCACCGAGCATGGAGACTGCTTGGGATTCTCTCTCTCTCTCAAAATAAATAAACATTAAAAATATATACAATAACAAATATTTATTTGGTCTTCATCCATTGTTCTAGGCACATAGCTCCTAAAGCCCTTGTAATTTCCTATATAAGGGACATAGAGGCATGTTTTGCTATAATATTTGGTTTTCTGACACCAGTTTCTGAAATTGCTTCAGAGCCATAAAGGTGAAAGCAGTGTCTTGTTATTCATAACAAGCTCCTTTCAACGACACCTGAGTTCATGTTAAAGGGTATCTTTTAGAAAGTCCCTAAGGATGGGGGCTGTTTGCCAGGGGAGTCAACTACAATTAGAGGGTTGGAACTTTCACTCTTACTCCCTGACCTGTGGAGAAGGGAGAAGGGCTAGAGGTTGAATCAGTCACCAATGTCATTTAATCAGCCATGCCTATATAGTAGAGCCTCCATAAATACCCCAAAGAAGGGGCCTCAGAAAACTTCCAGGTTGGTGAACACGTGGAGGTGCTGGGAATGTGGTTTGCTCAGAGAGAGCATGGAAACTCTATGCCCCCTCCTGTATACCTTGCCCTATGCATCTCTTCTATCTGGTTGTTCCTGAGTTATATCCTTTTATAATAAATCAGTCATCTAGTAAGCAAATTTTTTCCTGAGTTCTGGGAGCTGCTCTAGCAAATTAATCAAACCCAAGGAGAGGGTGATGGGAACCTCCCATTGATAGCCGGTTAGTCAGAAGCATAGGTACCAATCTGGACTTGTGAAGTGGGGGTGGGGCAGTGCTGGGGGATTGAGCGTGTGGGATCCCACACATTTGGTGTCAGAAGTGTTGTGAGTGTGGGGAATTGTGAGAGTAAAGGAAACACATAGATGTGGGTTTTCCTTTACAACTGGGTTTTGTTTTTGCCTCCTATATGTGGGACTAGGTGCTGGAGAAACCAGAAACCCAGAAATGCCAACCAGAGAAAACAAAAATTCACACAAATGCCTGTTCTCTATAGTCGAAAGAGTAGGAAAGGGGAAGCCTAACAAGCCAGAAAATTTTTAGACAAGAGTGGGTCTACTCCAGCCAAACCCATGGCATAAATTGTGGTCCCATCTACATCTGTAAAAGCAGATGGGCACACAGTCTTCCACTCTTGTCCTAGTGTAATAAGGCACCTCTCTATCATCCCCCTGCTGAGCAAGTGGCTTGGATCTTCATCCTCTCCCAGCAGTAATGCACCCCCACACACAAACACACACACAAATGTTACTAGAGAATATTTGGGGAGCCTGTTCCTTTTCCACACAGTAATAATGGCGGAGCATTTATGAGTCAGTGGAGGCCAATGGGCAATGTGAGCTTAGCAGTTAATACAGCACATGCCTTCAGGTTGTCAACAGAGGCCAAGTGGGGGAGCTTGGACTTACACCTTCCATCTGACAGCAACATCGCCTTACTTACGGTTTACTAATAACACTGACATACCAGTTTTTTGTTCAAATATATTTTGCTTAAATATTAACAACTGTATTTTTCTAGGAAATAGGGAGCTGTTTTTAGGCCCAAGAGAATGGTAGAGCTCCAGAACAGATTTTTCTGTCCTGTCCCTATACTCTTTATTTTTGTCAGGCATCGAATTCAACAGGTGCAAATGTAAGCAATATCTTCCCTTTTCTGCCATCTCAATTTAGAAGAAAATTGGCTACAGGAGAATATTTAAAAACCCAGATCAAAAATGTGCTTTAGAGACCTAAGTCTGAGTATCATACGAGTGATAAGGCAATGTTCAAAATGATGATGGCCAATGGATATATAAATATGCAGGCTGGACCAAATGCTGTGAGTCATAAAAACAACTTACAATGGAGATTCCATCCAAAGCTTTCAGTTCTGGAAGGTGAAATATTACAAACAACCGGTAGTTTTCTTGATTCCATACAATAATGTTTCCATACATGTTGAGAATGACCAGGTTGCATAAACCCTAGGTAATAAAAACACATACATTTAAAGATCCATCTATGTATCTCTATCTCTATCTATGTATCTATCCATACACATATACATTATGTGTATTACTCCAGCAAGATTTTTCCCCTTAAGAGTTTAACTACCCTGGAATTTTAATATTCGAATTACTCTATCATTTCTTAGTGATTACAGTACTTTAAGTACACGTTTTATTGCAAGAGTTATCCTTTCAGACCAGTAAGTTTTAATTTTGTACAATATTTCAGTGATATGTGATACATGATCAGAATCTCTTTCTTTTACCACACTGCTGCTAAATATATTATCTATCAGTGGTAAAGACTTGGAGGGAACTTTGCTAAGTTTAAAATAATATACTTTGTTTATGGAAGAATGGCCTATTAAATAGTATGCATGTGTGCATATAGATATAGTAGGAATGAAAAATACTGCCTTCTGATAAGGGATAAAACCCATGTACATCTATCTTCTGAGAGAGTAGCAGAATTCATCTTAAGGGAAAATGTGTTTTTATTAGAACATTTTGATGTGTCTTTGTTGTGCAGGAACGGCTCAGAGTAGATGTGGTTGGGAGAGGTTAAGACAAGCGGGAGTAACACTACTCTGTCTCACAATGTAAAATGGTTTATTTTGTTGCTGCTACCATTGATAAGGTTGCCTCTGCAGCTTTAGAAGAAGTAGTTATATTTGTGGAATAGGATGGGGAGAAGGCTGAAAGTAAGGAAAGACAGGAAACAGACATAAGTTTTTGGTAGGAGATCAAGCCCTAGCAATATGATATCAGCAAAAGGAAAGAGGCCATCGTGAGAATCCCAGTGGTAGGAAATGGCCATTGAACTTTAGAAATAGTTAAGTCACACAATGTATTTGAAGTGAATTCCTATTCTGTGCTGTAGTAAACGTCCATTTTATTCAAACCTTTAGGAAAGCCTTCAAAACTTCAGTTATACAGTAGTTTTAGACGTTTCTTTGGGAGAATTAAAGAGGACAA